TGGGTCAAACAAACACAGGACTTTCAACCAGGAGACCACAGTTCATTCCCATTTGAAACCAAAAGTCAGTGTTGTTTTAACGTAATGTTATGTCACTTGCGTTCCTATGTCCCAATGTTTAAATTTAATGTTATGTTATTTACATATTGTTGTGCAATGTCATTACTCATGTGAGGTATTTGCAACACATTACATAACAAATGTGTTTCTTTTTCCTCAATCAATGCTCACAGCAACATACAGCTTATTCTCTGACAGCTTTGCATAGCCAAAATATTTAAAGACGTAGAGGCCTGGGCATATGAAACACATTGAATATAACTGAATAATGCCTTATTTTGCCCTCTTCATTTTCCAGTGTCGTCGCTGCGCTCTTCTTTCAGACCCCAAAATGGCTGCCTTGTCATAAAATACTTATGCCCTTTAGCCAATGCTAATTATTGAAACATGCTTTCAAAATACACCATTCTACTGATAGCCAGAATGTAATAGGAGACTGCACATTGTTAATATTTCAGAATCAGATCTTTATTTTATAGATTGAATTTCACACGTTTGAGCAAATTCTTAACAACCCATTAATCGATCATCAATTAATCGTTATCATTCATAGTAGCTACTTACATTTTGAATGCATGAGGAAGATCTCATGGGGAAGATCTCACATGTCTTTACATTTACAGTCAAAATGAATAGGTTGGCAACATGGGTGAACTATATAATGGGAAATCTTCACTGCATCTGTTACTTTAGTGTGAGGCAATTAATAGATGGACGAATTAGTTAACTTTATTCCAACTGGCATTGTCGACCATGCAGTTTCCTCTGTCAGTTTAGGCCCAATTAATTTATTCTAAACTTCTGAAGAGCCATTATGATCTGAGCCAAAATATGTCAGTCGAGCTCATACTGATGTGTTTTTGTAATTCTTTTAGATTCATCTTTAGACCCAGAATTTAAAACCAGACAGATTTGATCAAGACGAGTAATTAGGTTACTCAGAGGTTGCAGTTTTACAAAGCAGTCTTACATCAGGGAATAATGATGCATGTAATTATAGGCGAGCTGCCTGCCATGTCTCCTCGATGATTGAGATGTGCTTAGACTCCCTAAAGATGTCACTCTTTCCCCCTCGTACACTGTGGAGAGTGGAGACTGTCAGATGACGGGCCTTATGGTAGACTGTGTGGAGAGAGTGCAGAGATTGTTTTAGCATCTCTCTCGCTCTTTCTTTGACACATTTTCAAACTCATCATAGTTTATGTGCTGGGAGGAAAAATGCAGAGAGGTAATGTCTAAACCAACATTTTCATAACTTGTCAAGATGCATCTGAACCTGCAAACTAACAGGGTGTCTAAATTTATCATCCTACATAGGTGGTTTGCACCAATATTGATAATATAACAACAAATTCTGTTTTTAATACCTTTTTTATTATTCAGTTGATATGATGCATACAGTGTGCTTTCAACAAAGTTTACTCAAATTACCACAAGCTATCACATACGGACCCAGTTGTTCATACATAATCTGATTGGATTTTGGCTGTTGGATTGGATCGAATCTTGAAAATGGGTTGTTAAAAAGAAAAGAAACAGGATTCTGAAATCTGCTTAGATAATGTAATCCAGTTCTGGTTTTGATCTGGATCAAACCTTTAGTATGTCATTTTCACTTTACATTAAGTGCAATGACAGTCAAAAGTAGTTTGTAATAACAATTATCTATTGTTGTTCTCTTTCTCCTCAAACAAAAACCCTTTGGTGATCCCACACTAGCTATACTACCTGTTGTCCTTTACATGGCTAGTAGCCCACATTGTGATATGTTGTCCCATTTAGAGCACTTGTTATCCAGATTTGGTAATCTTGGAAAGGTCCTATCTGAATCAGGGTGATCCAGTCCAATGTTGCTTTGAATAACTGGCAAAGAAGTAACATTGATTAGCAAAACATCGGATTTCCAAATCTGGATTATTAACTTTTTTGAACAACAGGGCCCTTAGGAAAATATAATGAAGCTGTTCTATAATGGAACTGTTACACCATATGCACTGAAAGGCAACAAGACACATCACTTCAGTCAGTGGGAGAAATTGCAGGGATTGAGGACCAGAGCCCTGTGGCCCCCAAGCAGGTTGATCCGGCCCTGCATACCTCCTGCTAATACTGCTACTTTCACTACAACTTCTACTATTACTAGTGCTACTATACTGCCTCTATTCTTAGCAGTACTATTGCTATGGTATTTACTACAATACCTCTCGAAGTACTGGTATTGATGGGGCATTGCATTAGTTCAGTCAGAGCTCTGAAATCTCACTTCCATCAGCTGCTTCAGCTTCACCATCAGTGACTCCTCACATGCTCAGCTACCAGCTGACTAGTATCATTAGATCATATTTATGCAGGTGTACAGCATGGCCTTTATGACCCGACACTTCTCTCTTTGACTCTGCTGATACCTTTATGCCAACACCATCTGACAGGTGGCACACCAGCTCTCTCCACCACCCCCATCTGCCCTACTGGCTTTTGGCTTTGTTGGCTTTACATAGTGGTGCAAGAATGAGTCCTAAAACCAAGAAATTAGTTAAAATTTTAGCACTTCTTGATCCCTTTTCCAGAAGTCAATGGGTTTTTGTTTAGAGGCCTGAAATAAGATCTTTGGTTAGCACAAGCTAAAGAGCCTTTCATGTTTTGTTCTACAACATAAAATACATCAGTAACTACCCGACTCATAAAGTTTGAAGCCTTTACATGTCTTTAAAAAGATGGCAGCTGGGGTGTCGGTGGCTTAGTGGTAGAGCAGGCGCCCCATGTACAAGGCTTTTGCCGCAGCGGCCCGGGTTCGAATCCAGCCTGTGGCCCTTTGCTGCATGTCATCTCCTCTTTCACTCCCCCCTTCATGCTTACCTGTCCTGTCCATTAAAGGCAAAATGGCCCAAAAAATATCTTAAAAAAGTGTCTAAATGAGACTACAGAACATCATCTTGCAGAACACAACTTTACAGCCTGTTGTGGTGGTGATGAATCATCAGTATTTACTTCGGTACCCACGTTCACTTTTCCCAATGAAATGAATAGAATCAGGGCTGCTGCTAGTCTCCTAAAGAAGCACGGCAGTGGTGGAACCCACTGTGATATAGATCCAGAAAAAGAATCTAAAGGTGGCCGTCTTGGTGCTAACTCTCGTGTCGGTCCCTGCAGCACTCTATAAGAGCTTTGTTCATGAATCTGTTGTTTTCTTGAGATCATTAATATTACTCTCTTAACACTGTTCTTGTACCTCTACTTAATTCTTTTTTTTTTTTTTTTTGTGATTAACATTTTTATTTTCATTGTTTCAACAATACATTAGGAACAGTAACCCCCCTCCCCCAACAAACAAACCCTTCCCAAGCCACCACCATCCATGCTGATCCCTTTCTGGTTACCAACATCAATCATTGTGCTTCTTCATGTACAGTTATTACAGCTACACAGCCTGCATCAATGTAGACAAAACACAAAATAACTATAACAAAATTTGACACAGAAAATGACTCCAAACAAGGTTAATACAGCACAAAGTAATCACTGCATTAAAGAGATAATTGGTAAACAAATGAAAAAATAAAAGCAATAATAGCTGAATAAAATGCAAACACATAAGAAGCACTATTCTGTATTTACTCACAATAATGAAAACTTGCATCTCTCCACCATCCAACCCCTTTCAGGAACCCTTTAAAAATTTTATGTATTTGCCCCACTTTGCTTCATATAGATCCAATCTACCCAGTTGTTTATATGACATTTTTTCAAATGCTGCAACTCGTGCCATCTCTACAGCCCACTCTTGAAGAGAGGGAACCCCCTCCGTCTTCCATCCTCTGATAAGTATTTGTCTGCCAATCATAATACTGGTTTGGACAAAACTTTTGATATGTTTATCCTCTCGTACCAGAACTGAATCATCACCCAAAATAAATAATCTAGGTATAAATGGCATTTGTATCTCTGTGATCTCACACAAATTACCTCTACTTAATTCTTGTATGCCATCAGCTTTATACAGGGCCCTCAACTCATGATTTTTTTTAATTCTCATTTAATCTGTCACTTATTTTCACAATTAATCAATTAATTGTTTTGTCCATAAAATGTCAGAAAATGGTAAAACATGCAAAACAAGCCAAAACCCAAATATATTTAGTTTAATATTTTAGAAGAATGACATACTATGCAAATATTAACATTTGAGAAGCTGGAATCAGTCAGTTTTTGCTTTAAAATGTAACCCTAAAATTAATAATCAAAATAATACTGGATCATTTTTCAGGTCACATGTACCTGATGCTGTAGATGCTGCAACACAGAGGATTAAATTGCAGTTTCAATCATGTATTAACATTATGTATACACACATGTTGAAAGAGGATATTACTCAAAAGAGAGGAAACTCCCTCTCTTCTTAAACACACACACACACACACACACACACAAATACATATATATATATGTGTGTGTGTGTGTGTGTGTGTGTGTGTGTGTGTGTGTGTGTGTGTGTGTGAAATCATGAGCCTATTAAGAATAAATTAATCCAATTAAACCTGTGATGGTAGGTAGAAACCCATCTGAACAATTTAAGGATGAAAACAGACAACGGATGATGTAGCCTAAGCTTCTTAAAATGACCTGTTGGAAGTTGAAATGATTAAATCACTTTGAAAGACAGTTATTCTTGGAATCCCTGCTTTTTAATATCTAAAATAGTCGAGAGTTTGGAGTTCGTGGTTATTTAAAGACCAATGAGAAAAAAATCATTTCTCTTTGTTTTGTCCAGACGGTGACAGCAGCACTGAGATGAGCGCTGATTAATTTCCCTGAAACCAACTTCTCCTGATTTCTAATGCACAGAAACAACAGCGTTGGAGTCTAAATGAAAAGACGTGTAATTAGCGACTTTTCCCAGGGAGTGATGACTAGACAGCCGACATTACTTTCTGGAAAGGAATCTCTGGTTTGACGTTACATATTTTTGAGTAACGAGCCCGACGCTGACGAGTGGTTGTGCGTCTTGGAGAGGGCAGGGACGCCGGAGACGCGCAACGGCAGCAGCGCAGTCTTATTGGAGCCACCGGTTGAGATCATTCAACACTCCGAGCGCTGACTGACTGAACGGATTGTGGGATACAGATCGACGACCTCCACCTACCTGAAATCATTTTCCTAATCAAACGATGGACATCTTCCTCGGCCCCCTTAATAGCCACGAAAGCGTCGGATGAGTGAAATCGGAGATGCTGCGCACCTCGGCCAAAATCCTGGAGCTTTTTTGAACAGGACTGTGGGTGTGTGCGCGTCGGGCTCGCCGTTACCTCCGGACTGCACTCGCCAACTTCCCCCGCTTTCCATCAAGTCATGTCTGATACAGAGCGATGGGCAAGTTTGACGACAACGAGAGGATAATCCTCAACGTCGGGGGCACCAGGCACGAAACCTACAAAACCACCCTGAAGACCCTGCCGGGGACGCGCCTGGCCCTGCTTGCCTCCGACTCGGACATCGACTCCGTGCTGGATCAGCTGCAACAAGTCCCCGGCTTCATCGAGTACAACGCGCGGACCAACGAGTACTTCTTTGACCGCCACCCGGGTGTTTTCGCCTACGTGCTCAACTACTACCGCACCGGGAAACTCCACTGCCCGGCGGATGTGTGCGGACCGCTGTTCGAGGAGGAGCTGTCCTTCTGGGGCATCGATGAGACGGACGTGGAGCCCTGCTGCTGGATGACATACCGGCAGCACCGGGACGCGGAGGAGGCTCTGGACGTGTTCGAGCTCAACGTGGACAACGGGGAGGATGACGACGAGATAGGGAAGAGGCTCGGCATTGAGGATGTTGCTGCCGACGGTAATGTCAGCTTGTGGAGGAAGTGGCAGCCGGTGGTCTGGAATCTATTCGAGGATCCCTACTCCTCCAGGGCGGCGAGGGTAAGGGCGCACCGCTGCGTCTGGGGCTCTCCAAATATACACAATAACCCCACTTTACACCTCACTCCCCACCTTTTCTCCTTCATTCACAGTAACATGCCCATACAGACAAGTTATTTTAACACAAAATCTCCCACAAAGGGGCGAAGAAAGTCATTTCTAAGTTTATCATAAAGTCTCAAAAACTTGCATTCCTCTAAAAAGTGAGATGTTTTGGAGTGGTGTGAGACCATTTCTTTCCAACATTTTATACTGTATAAATTATACTGATATAATGAATGTCTCTGCTGAACTAATCTGCCTTATTAAGACTCATTTCAAGATGCTAAATTTGTTTAAGAGCCTGATTTGGGAACAGGTGTAATTATCACATAAAAAAAGCAGATTTTTTCCACTTGTCACAAGCAAACAAGGTGTTAACACTCTGTCAGGATGGATATTCATAGCAGCAGTGTATTTTAGGTGTGTAGGCCTGTGCCAAACAGAGGCTATCCTACATTTGTTGCAATCTGATGCTGTTTATTTCAGCCACGCATCCTATATCTGTGCTACTCTGTTGTTCCTGTTGCAAGGGCTTTGTTTATTGGGTTACAGCTCTAGAAGTGTCTTTTCATCACTCACAATGTGTTAGTTATTCGCTTACATCTCATTCAGAACTGCTCGATTTATGATAAACACAAAAGAAATGTGTGGGACTTTTATCTTTCCAAATGAGTGCATTGGCTCATGCAGGGATTAGGAGAGGTGTAAACTTAAAGGCCACATGTGGCATCTTTGTCTTTTCCTTCTGATCATTAGGGTTTTTTGGTTATAAATAATTTAGAATTTTGAAGTTTTATCTGGATAGAGTGCAGTTCAAAAGCATACATACTGAGATTTGACATCCATGTCTACAAAACTGATCCTGTGTATTTTGTGTTCAGTTGTTCATCAAACATTTTTTAAATACTTAAAATCCAGAGCATTGAATGGACTTTACATCAGCATATTAAAGATTGTCTGCAACAGTTGTCTCTAAAGACCAGTCACTTTTCACTATCAGTGAAGGACAGTGGCTCTGCTAAGCTGGCCGCAGGCTTCTGGTGAATTCTGGGTAATGGACAGCAAATCGATCCCTCATTGGCAGGCTGACGTGTTACAGGAGTGAATGACTGCTGGCTGTGATGTCATGTTTTGTGAATGGAAATTAATGCAAAACAGCCACACACACGTCTTCATGACATCACAGGCAGAATGCCATTGCAACCAGTAATACAAATGCATAACAGCTGAAGCTAAAATCTTTAATTAAAGTTCAGGTTTGACAGGTGAGGGTTGTTTTCTTTTCCTATATTTTTCTCTCTGGTGTTGATATCAGCAGTCACTGGCAAAGTACCTGCTGTGACACCACTGGGGTGTGGCTAGAGGTGACATTGCTTGAAAGTTTCAACCCCTAGAGGGCAGCGCTGCAGCAGCTTTCTGCTGTATATTTGATTAAATGTTAAGTATTTTACCTTTTGAGGGCAAATATACCAAAAGTAAAAGCAATTCAATTTGAATATTGATATTTTGCAGTGATAAATTTGACAAGTTTGAATCAAAAAGCAAATCATTTCTTGAATGTCCAGCTTTACTCTTAGTATTGGCAATTTCTGAAACCTCAAACAGCATTTAAAGATCCACTGTGTAGGATGTAGAGGCATCTATCGGCAGAAATGGAATATATAATCATAATAATGTTTTCATTAGTTTATAATCCCCTCAAACTAATTACCTTAAAATAATTTCAATAAACAGGTCCTCTACCATGGAGTTCGCCATGTTGTTTCTGCAGTAGTCCACAATAGACAAACCAAACACCAACTACAGATAGAGCCATTTGCATTTTCACATTGGCCACTGTGGTACATGCTTGGCACATGTTTCAGTTTGATGCCTCTAAATTCTACACACTGGACCTTCAAAGGATTAGTTATACATTTTGATAAATATGCTCACTGTATTTACTTTCTTGCTGTGAGTTAGATGAAAAATGAAAAAAGTGCTAGTTGGTGGACTTTGTTACTTTTAGACAGAGCAAGGTTAACTGCTTCCGGTGCTTCCAGTCTTGATGTTAAGCGCTAACCAGCTGCTAGCTAGAACTAACAGCTTAATTTACCGGACAGACATGAGAGTGATCCATCCTTTCACGAAACTCTCAGCAAGAAAGCAAATTAGAGCACTTCCCAGAATGTGGAGTTATTCCTTTAAACCATTTAAGGATGTTATAACTCTCGACTTAAATCAGATAGATAAAACTTTCTGCAAGTAGCAGTGCTTTAAGGGTCATGTCAGACCAACAACAATGCTGTGATAAAAAATGCTCACAGAAGGCTCTAGGAAGTAAAAGCAGTGTTGTACTGCAGGCAGAGTTGAGCCTGGATTTACTTTAGCCACAGCATAATGCAATTTTGTTCAGCAACACACTGTGTTCAATATGTGGACATACCAGTTAGAATACTTTTGTAGTGTGTCCCTTACCATTGTGCTAATATACTGTTTAAGAGAAAATATTAACCGCTGTGAAGCAGGCTGATGTTTGACCACCTGTACCTTGTAGCAACTTCCACCAGTGCAGCCTTTTGGCTAGTTTTCCCAGAATGCTCCTGACAGTCTTAAAGCATCCCAAATCAGATACAGGCCAGGGAAACTTTAATCTGACTATCACACCCGAAGCTTTAGAGTAAAATGATCTACTTCTGAGCTGATTTTTGAATTCTTCCCTGAAGCTGATATTAGCCCATTATATTAGTCTTAACTTCAAGTTCGGGGTAGGCTTCCCTTCAGCATTTCCTTTGAAAGGATCCAGTCTCTATTGACTGTGAAATGGGCTATTATAAAACCATGTGTAGCCATGATTTGAATGTTATTTCAGAGACTTTAAGTGGCAAAAACAGTTCTGGGAAAGAACTGCGTTAAAGTTTTTTTTATGTTTCACAATCACACAGAAGTATTTGGACAAAGAATATCAGTACAAATTGTCAGACATTTTTAATTCTTTGTCTCCCCACTAGCTGCTACCATGAACTACTATTTTATGCAGTCATCACATTGTACGTTTATCCTGCTGTGTTGTCTACAGTGTCACACAATCATGAAGGTTGCCTTTCTGAGTTTTTCTGAATTTGTTCTACAGCAGTGCTTAATCCAGTGGATGTATAAGTTCCTCACTGTTAAGTCTCTATCATTTGAATATATAATCTAATAATACACATTATAACCTGTCATTCTTTGGTTAAGAGGAATCAAATTAAACCCTGATCAAGCTGTTTGTCTACACCAGTAGACTTTTCCTCATACCATAAATAGTTAAAAAAAAGTGTAGCAAATTTAGCAACATCATTTCTCCTCTTCATCGTCTACAGAAAGCTGTTTGAACAGGACTACAAGCACTTTTATATGACATGCGGATGTTTGAGGAAGGGAAGCAGTTAGAAGATGGCTGTTCATTATACAGTATATGTTTTTGTAGTTGTGCTGGGATAGGACATCTTTGATATACTACATATTTTAAGATGAAGTGAACAGACCTTTAAACTATCCCCTTTGTTAAAGATACAATCCAGAATAAGTGTTATTCCCTGTAAAATGTTACATGTAAGGGCCTTCTCTTGATGGGAATTTGTTTAAATTGTAAATTAAAGAGTAATGTTTAGACGTGGGGCTGGTTGCACCAACAGGGCTTACACCTGGCCTTAAGCTAAGTTGGTTGTAACTTTGTGTTCTAAGTCTGACCTAAAAGTTACACTGGTTTCACCATAGGCTTAAGCCTTCTTTTAGTTAAGGCCAGGCACGAATCTGCCTCGTCAGGAGCAGGCACAGTCAAAATCTCAGCTGTTTCTATACATCAGCATCCTGATAGAACACAAGTGCCACAAGCCAACTTGCAAACTCCTTTCATGTTACTTGTGGCACTATATAAATAAAACTGACTTCACTTAAAATAATAATTTGAGGTATGAAGCTAAACTGAATGATTGTTTATCCTGCATTAGTAACAGCATTCCCAGAATTCCCGCGATGAGTTGGTGATAGGTATCAATGATCAGTTGGGCTTGTTGATTCAATCGATTCATGATTTTTCATTCCTGTCTCCCATCTTGACGTCTCCCTCTTGAGGAGAGGTTGGGCTAGAGGAGTGTCTGTGTGTCATATGGTGAGGGTGGTATTGGCATTGCCCGTGCCCTGTATCACTTTGCCTTCCTCTCGCAATTCGTCTGTAAACTCTTAGTAAGGATGAGGGCAGGGATTTGTCTTTAATGTGTGAAGGGAATACTGATAAAGGATGTGTACTTTATAGTTCGATACTTGCAGAGTGTAGTACTTCAACTTGATTTTACACCCAAATATCATTCCCAAAGCTACATTTGAGGTTATATTAGCATTACATCACAGTTAGCTTTACAGCCACAGCATGAAATCCTTAATTTTTAAAGAGAAACTGGAAATGACCACAGAAGTCTGTCAGATCTGTTGTTCCTTGTATTCTTCCACCAAATTTAATTGGTAAGTTCTTGGAAATGTTTTTGGCGATTGCGCTGCTGACGGAGAAACTAGCAGGGATATCTCAGAGGTAAATATTGAGTTAGTTTCAGTAATGCTTCATTGGCAGAAGGGAGTTGATGGAGCCAAATGCTTGTGTTTACAACACGCATACATCTGTCTCCCTGCACCAACACTCACCCAGTATGCACACAGAGAAATGAAGTTACGCCACATTTCCCTGCCACCAATACCACACAGAAGCATCTGTTTCTATAAGTGCCTTCTAATGGTGATGATGCTCCACCTGCAGCCATGTTAGGCCTCAGTTTGGTGCCATGGGTGCAGCATGCATGGAGATGCTGCTCCTTCTTGATGCCTTGTTTCCTCTCTTATTAAATGACAGCTGGCTTTTGGTTAACCTTTTAACACAACTCATACACAGAGGAAGGCTCAGTGTATGTGTGTGAGAGAAAGAGAGGTTTTGAGCATGAAAGCAA